AATGCGATAACCCTGACTATTTCCAAAACCGTCCTTAAAAACCGTTCTAAAAAGCATTCGATTTCTAAGTTTCACATTTTTTTTAACCTAGAACCAGCAAGTTCTAGAACGATTAATTATGCCCTACCAATAGAAACTACCTTATAACTTTTTAATATAATTCATCATCATCAAGACGTCATTACGGTGCATAAAAAGAAGTTACAACTAAGGTTTGTATCATAATGGAATTCTTTATTGGCTATTCCCATTGATATGTTGTTTAACCTTAATTTTCACCCTGTTTTCTTAGTAGTGTTGGTGTAACTTGGATTTTGGAATATTCCAATCCAAATCGAAGTTCCAAACCAATATTAATTTGGACTGAAATTTTGGAAATAACTGAAAATTTAATGAGTGGTAACTTTGAAAAATATTTGGTATAGTGGAATATGGAATGGAAATAAAAAATAAAAATTCCCCTATACTACCAAATCCAAAATACTTGAATTTTTATTATTTATTCTTTAGTTTGGTAACTAATTGTTTTTAAAATAAAAATATTAAATTAAAGATTAGAAATAAAATATCACTAACCCGAAAATTAGTAATTAATAATATACTAATGTCTTGAATACTTATACATAACTTTCTTGGGTGAAAAAATATGAATAGTTATAATACCTTACTTTTATAGATTAATATGATTTAAATATTTAGTATGCTAAGACCATTAACCACTCTTTAATAGATTTTGGTTGACTACATATATTGATTTATCCTAAACCACGAAATGGTATTAATCTTTTGTTGGATTTAATGGTTAAGAATTTGAAAACCAACCGGAGTTACAACTGAATTTCAATGGAATGGTATGGAGTAAATAATTTTAAAATTTGAAAAAATATTTAGAAAATGAAATGGAAATCATTCAAATTTCAAAATATTTGGAAACCAGAATTGAATTGAAGTCCCAATTCCGTCCGTCCCATCTGAATTAATACCCTCTATAACTTATTAAGCATCTCCCATAAGTAAATACATTTAGGTGCATTCTAGAGATTGTTTGTAATGGAGTAGATTACGAATTCACCTAAAAAAAACTTTGGTTATTTTGTCCAACAACAACTTTAACTAGATAAATAAATATGTTAGAATAGACTGCGATAAGAAAAAGTGCGTGAGCTGTTAGCCTCCAAATATTTCCTTTAAGTTTTATAAGAATTTTTCACATAATTTGATTAACAGCCACTTTGAGAGAGAATAAATATTGGTGAAATAAAAGAAATATGACTAATGATAAAAAGCAATTAAGCATTAAATTTATTTTAGTTTTCGGTTTTGAAAATCTTAAACAATTGAATTGAGAACAAATAAATGAAATTTTATTTTAATTCATTAAAACTTAAGCGGTCACCTGAATTAAGCCACTGATTAAGAAACCATAAATGATTTTTTTTTTTTTTGTGAACCGTGTAGAATACCGTTTGTTATAGCTAACGATAATAAAACTGAAATTTAGCGAATATTTTGTGACCGTTTTTTTCCATTGCTAAATTAGCGGAACCAAATACAAAATGGTCGCTACAGCGGAATTAAGTAATAAAAGCTTTTCATCGTTTTTTTTAAATTATTTTAGGCGACGTCTATTTGGCGTATTTGTTCCGACGCGAATTAATTATTGTCCCGCTTTTTCAAATCAAGCATTACTCTTACTCGCAAACAGTTTAAATCAAGGGTAGGTTCTGGAGCTCCTTTATAATCATTTAGATGATCAAAGACGTTAAGGTGATCATGAATAATATTAAATACAACATCTACAAGTCAAGGTCCTCAAATCATGGCTAAAATGATTGAACTACAAGACCCAAAAATCATAACATCTCACATGATTAAAATTAACCGGAGACAATCACAAGGATGAATTTGGGTCTGAATGCCAAAACTCTGTTGGATTTTATCAAATTCTAAGAAAAAAAAAAAAAAGAAAAGAAAAAGAAATTTATTGATCTAATCCATAATGAAATCTTGGCCAAGACCAAAAATCCTATAATTCTCAAACGATTAATTAATAAGATAAGAATTGTAAAATCATAATTAATTAACTAGAGACAGCAATAAAATATAATTGAAAAAGGCAAATAAAACAATCAACCTGTCTGTCGTAGAGATTTCATCTTTCTCTTCTATTAGTGCCAGGAAAATCGAAAATGTGTTTTAGGAGAGCTTCCATATGAGCTAATTTCCTGAATTCACTTAATTATCGCCGCTTCATTTTCTCAGCAAGGCTCCTTCGTATCCATTTCAGACAATTGAAAGGTATCCTCCTGCGAAGCACTTCAATGCAAAACGAATCCGAAATTGCTTTGGATAGTAAAACCATCAGCAGCAGAAGAATTAGTAGACTCTTGGGTTCTTATCTTCTTCAGTTTCGACACGTCTCTTGAGCCTTCTTCTCCTTCGCTGTGTATTCCATTGTTACTCTTCTGGTACTGAGTCACTTCACATGGCCTGAGCCCACCGACCTGGTTTTCATTGTAGCCCAACTGTAAAAGAAAGGTACGAATAAAAAAAAAAAATAAAAAAGAGAGGAACAGATGAGTAATGGTGTTTCAATCAACGTTATATATATAAGAGTAGTTATATTGGCGCCTAATAACCTATTGCTTAGGGATTTTTCCCAAAATAATGAACTATGCTTTAGGGATTTTCCAAAATAGGTATATACTAAATGAGAAATTATTTGATGATCTTCCAAAAATAGGTAATGCATTTATTACTGTGTTATGCCTTGGTCGTGTAATATGTATTAATTATTATTATATATTTCCAAAATAGGTATAATAACTAAAAAGATCTTGACACTCTTTTATTTTGATCATAAAATGCAGCATTTCTATGATAAAAGAAATCTCCTCGCTTGGAAGGAATATTCCAGTTTGGACCGAAAATTAAACTTTTTTTGTATAATTTACCTCTCTAAAATTTTACATAAAAGAAACAAAATTGACAAATTTATTTAACTCAAAAAAAGAATTTTAATCTAAAATCAAATATAACGAAATTTCAATTAGATCAAATACAATTAAGAAATAATAACAAAAAAATAAAAATTTTTAAACCAAAATATTCAAAACATAATCAATAATTCTAATTTTTATAATTTTTTAAATTGAATATTTTTGGTTTAGTTATTTTTTAAATAAGATAAGACACTAATTTTTTATATTTTTTTTATTACTTTAAATAAATTTTACTTTCTTAATTTTTGAACAACTTTTAAATAGTAATTTTAGTTAAGTTAAAATATTTTTTAATTGAAAATGGGTGTTTAATTTTTTTTGGTATAAAATTCAAGAGTAAATTATATAAAAAGTTGAATTTTTTATCAAACTGAATATTACTCACATACCGAGTTTAATTGCAAAACGAGCTTTATGCCAAATTAAAAAATCAATCACAATCAAATGTCTCTCCGTTCATTCTGAAAAAGAAAAAACAATGTGATTGATTTCTAATAAATTTAAATTCTGTTTTATTTCTTGAAACAAAATATTTCTAGTTATTAATAAATTTTATTATTCTACTAAATACGGGTATGGCACTATTATCATTACAAGTTTTTTTATGACGTGGCGTTTACTTATTTTTGTAACTCTTTTTATTTTTTTTTATTTTAATATAATATTAAGCGCATAAATTTATAGGATTAAAATAAATATAATTGGTTAATTTGTAATTGTTCTTGGTCCTACAAGCTGGTTAAGAAAATCCCGACATCAACTAAATACCAATCCACAAAAGGCATAATAAGGGTGCTAAGTTTGCTAGCAAATTGGTTAGTAACTAAATCTTTTTAACAATGGTTGGCCCAAGTCCAGTAAGCCCATATCAATATATTTTCATCTCATGGGTTCTAACCTCTCACCAGTCCACCCTACCCTTTTAACTTTAATACAAGTTACATGTAATACTATTTCTTATGTACTTAATTGCTATTTTTTATAATAATAAAATTTGATCTCTCAAACTGAATTGATAAAGTAAAAGTAAATTTTCGCAAAACCTAAATTGATAAAGTAACATTTTTGCAGTGTTGCAGTAATTTATTTACAATGTATTTAGAAGAAAAGAGGAAATGGTATAATAACACAAATTTTTGAAAACCAAAAAGTGACGCCAAATAGAAATATATAGTTCTAGTTGTTTTTTTTCAATTTTCTAAATATCATTTTCTCTGACACCAAACAGAATTTAGGAATGTAAGAGAAAAATATTAAGAAAAATTAAAAAATGTATCAGAGACCATTTATTTATTAAGGGAAATAATAAATCCTCCTTACTAAATTAAATTGAATAATAGTTATAAATATTTTAAAAAAATAGAAAATAAGAAATATTGTGTAAAAATTGAAACAACTCGAATTTTTAATTTTCAAAAAAATTTTCCAATTAAATTTAATGAAACCGATATGCCTGTAAATTAATATTAATATTTTAGTACGAATACTGTTGAAGAAAACCGGATCGAAACCGATTGAAAAAACTGAAAACCAGGGTTTAAAAATCGATGAAAATTTTGGGGCCGAATCGAATCGAACCGAACCGGTTCGACCCAAGCAAATCTAGAAAAATTCCTTTTTTTTTTTTTTATATATCCACCACAATCGCTGCACTTCATTTCCTTCACCCCCATTTCCTTCTGCGCCATCCTCAATAAAACCCAAACCACCCGCACCACCACCAACCTCCCCTCCTTTCTTTCCTTTTCCTTCTTCTTCTTTTCTTTCTTTTTCTTTTCTTTTTCTTCTTCCCTGCGTCTATCTCTGTGTGACTGGCGAAGAGACAGCAGATTCCACTGCTCGCCACCCAGCCCCCGCCGCCTCTCTCCCCACACCGCCAGTCGACCTCCGGCCCACCAGCCCCATTCCGGTTTAATCGCAATTTCCGGCAACATATATGAGGTATTAATTTAGTTTTAGTGAATGAAATTAATTGTTTTTGTAGGTAATTTTTTGTAGACCAGCCTCCATTTTCGGTTAATCGAAATTCCGGCAACAATATATATATATTAGGTATAATTTAGTTTTAGTGAATGAAATTAATTGTTTGTAGGTAATTTATTTAGTTAAGTTAGCGTTCTTGAATTTATTTAGTTAATTTATTTAGTTAATTGATTTAGTTTAGTTAGTTTAATTTTAATAATTTTAGTCGATTTAGTTAATGTCAGTAATATTAGTTAATTAAATTAATTTTATTATTTGTAGTTAAGTAATTTGGTTAATTTAATTTGATAATTGTGAGTAGTTAACAGTTTTATAATTTTATAATTTTAGTATCTCGCATTATTAATTAAAGTAGTTTAATATTATGTTATTGTAATGTATATTTGGATTGTGTGATGTTGGAGATTGGAGGAGGATGGGAAATGTTGTTTTGATTAAATTGCCCAAGGTGGGCAAGTATGGAGTTGAATATTTGTGAAATTGTTGATAATTTTTAAATAGGTAGATGTCTAATTTTTTAGGGAGATGTTGCGCAGCGTAGTGAGGAAATTTCGGTAGGAATAAATTAAATTTGGTATAAATTAAATATTTGGTAGAGATAAATAACAGAGTTAGATAAATACGAAAACAAATAAAATAGAGTTAGATAGAACGATAAAATTTTAGTACAGAAAAGAAATTAGATATCGAGATTAAATTACGTAGAAAAATTTAGAATATAAAATAAAACTCTTAGAAGGGAAAAGAGATATTTTATCTAATATAATTATTTTCTGGTGTCATTCTTTTAATTTCTTAGATCGCCCGGGTCCATCTAGTGCTCCTCCAGGACAGAATCAAAGTTAGGATTTCGCTCTCCATCACTGTGAGTAATAATAAATAATGCATATCAATATTGCATTTGCATAGTAATTATTTACTAGATATATATTATGTCACTATTACTATATAATTATATTTATGATTGTACAATTGGATGTATTTGATGTATTACTTTGAAAGCATTGTTTGATTACTTGTGCTGTGCTATACGTTGCCTTGTTTGTGTGGAATTGGGATGAAGTGGACCACCAGGGGTTTGTGAGGACTTGGGATGAAGTGGGTCCCATGGAGACTGTGAGACGTACCGTTATATGGTTAGTATGATTACTTGTGGCGGTAGTGCGCGAAGGGTAGATGTTGGTTAGCTGGGTAGATGGGAGATCAGGCGGCACCGTTGTGCACGCCTAGCTGTTGATCTGTGTGATAATGGAAACAAAAGGTTGGTTGTTCTTTATTGGGCGACCTGATTAATCGAGATTTGATCGAGCCAGGCGGTGGTCTCGCTGTTGTGAACGCTGATTGATCTAGATTTGATGGAGAGTGACCGATTTTTAAACCTCCTGTTGGTATGAAACAGAAAAGAGATTATGGAAAAACAGTGAGAAGGTGGTCAGTGAGGATTATGACCGGTTGGTCAGTATGGGGGATCGGCTCCCTGGTGCAGCATGTGGAGGATGAGCATGTGGGAGGACGGCTCATCGGGGGTTCGGTGAATCCCACTGACTAATTTTCCACGTGATGTGATTATTTTGAAGGTTGATATTTTTTTGTGGGTGCTGATGTAAAATGTCATATGGTTGACTGTTTGTGTGTTCATTCAGTATACATGGTGTGCATTTTGCTTGACTAGTATGTGGTGTGTATTATTTATTTTTATTCTGAGTTGCAAAACTCACCCCCTTTGTCTCAACCTCCCAGGTACTAGGAGCAGTTGATCCAACTGAAGCTCTGCATCTTCTCCGCGAGTTATAATGTAAACTTTGATATTCTTGATTATTTCATTTTTGAATGTATAAATTATTTCTTATTATCAGATTTTTTTTGACTACCCAGTTATAGGGCTGTGTATTTAACATTTGGGCTTATTGTTTAGCACTACGCTATACATTATTATTGGTGCAATTAACTGTAGGTAATCTAGATAAGGCCTTATTGTACTTATGAGTTCATTAGGTGAAATGGCCTGGTTAATTTTTGATGTATTATTGATATGGGCCAGATGTTTGAAAATTTTATAAAATTATTTCTTAAGTTAATATGGGTTTTACTGTTTTTGTTGAAATTAGGAGAAATCATGTAACAATTGAATAATTTTAGGCTTACTACGGGTTCGGGAGGCTGAAGCTTACCTGGGCCTAAAGTGCCGGTCCGGTCCACGGGAAAGGGTGTGACAAAAATCAAAACTCTTTGTCAGAACTTCAAATAACAAAAAAGTTTAAAATTATATAGTATTAATTATCAATAAAATGTTATATATATTTTTAAAATTAAATTTTAAAACTGTTAGGCCAATCTCACGCACAATATGGTTTCATTTTTTTACAGTAATTTTTGAAAAGTAAAAAATTTTTAAAAATTTGAAGTTTTAGTTGTTTTTGATTCATATTATGAAATTATATTTTTAAAAAAATTATCCATAAAATTACAGAAAATATAAAGAAATATTAAATAAAAATAATATATATGTTTTTTATCTCCTTGAATAAAATAATATATATATATATATGTATATTTTCTATTTTTGAAAAATTTAATTTAAAAAAAATATATATATTCAATCAAATCATACAAATATAAGAAAATATACTAATAAAAGATATAGATTTTTTTTTCTTTTTTTTATTTTCTTCATAGATATTTTAATTATAATGTAAAATAGAATAAATTATTTAAAAATATAAATTTAAATTTTTATCATATATATTGATGAAAAATAAATTTAAAAAAAAGATAAAACTTAAAATTTTAAAATTCAATAGGTATTTATTTAAAAAATAATTTTATAAATATATTTAATCAACTAATAAAATGCAATTTTTTAAATGATTATAACTAAAGTTATTTTAGTATATTCTAAATTTCATTAAGAGCACTATTAGAAATTTTATTATTTCTCTCCATTTTTACATTTATATATAGTATAGACTACGTATTTTATATAACATGCGTTACACGTTGATCATACTCGTTATATACTCATTTTTTTATCTACATAATATTAAAGCAGAAGTTTTATTTAGATTAAAATAAATATAATATTAAAGCAGAAGTTTCACTTTGTTATATACTTCCAATGCTACTTTTTATGTACATAATTTTATTTTTATGTAATGAGGTGATCTCAGAATAACGTTGAACCGAATCTTTAGACCTAATCTTTTAGTCCCTAATTTATAAATCTGAAATTTTAAAATCCTAATAGGTGCCTAAAAAGAAAATCAAGTCATTACTCAATCTCCAACCTCTTACTCTCAACTCCAAATCAATATCTATATACAATTATAATGAAAAATAATAATAAATTATTTTACTACTAGGTAAAATTTAAAGAAATAAAAAGATAATCTGAATTGATAATAAAAATTATTTTGCATATAGTTTCATCATTATTCATCCGGTGCATCAGAGGAAGGAATATATGCATATACACAAATTCTTGAAACTCAAAACAGTTTTAAACCTTTTCTAGTTTCTTAAACGTTATTTTCTTTTAAGTCAAATAAATTTATGATATAAAAGAAAAAAATATCAAGAAAATTAAAAATACTTAATTATCAATAAACTATCTTACTAAATTAAAATAACAGTAGTTACAAATTATTTAGTAACAAAAAAGAAAATAAAAAATTATTATGAAGAATAAAACTCTTTCAAAATATTATATATTTTTTAAATTAAAATTTTAATCGATCAAAATCTTACAAACATAAAAAAAAGAATATTAATAAAAAAAAAATGCAGCTACACAATAAAGAATAGTCTTCCACTCACCAAATTGGTGAAAAAATTTGTGGTCAAGAGGATTCGAATTTAAAATCTTTCACTCATCACATAAATAAAAAAAAAATTAGACCATACATGATTGGCTTAAAAAATAATTTTTATAAATATATCTAATCAATTAATAAAATGTAATTTTCTAATTGATTGTGACTAATATTATTTTAGGATATCTAAAATTTCATTAAGGAAGCTATCGAAAATTCCATTATTCTCCTATATTCTAATATTTATATATAATATAGATATAGATTGTGAATCACTAATGGCTAATATGGTCACTTCCGCTAATCTTTAATCACCCTTTGTCAGCGCTACCAATCAACAATAACAATTATAATTTGCTATTTTATATAATTTTTCATATTTAATGATAAATTTTTATTAGTTTAAATATTTTAATAGTTTTGTAAATTAAAATTTTTAATATTCTTTAATTAATTTCTAAGGTTACAATCAAATATGAGAAAAGGTTTCTCTGAAAATGTTTGTTTTTGGAAAATATTTTTAGGGCTTTTTTTTTTTTTTTTTTTTTTTTTTTTTTTTTTTTTTTTTTTTTTTTTGGTATTTAGAGCCCTACAAGAAGGGCAAATGCAAAAATAAAAAAAGTAATCAAAGAAAAGATGGATAAGAAAAATATTGGTGGGAAAAAAGGCGCGTATGGTCAGTTGCAGAACACATTATGCGAAACCCCTGCAATGCCCACTTTCCCTCCGTCAACATAGCCCCGCTTCCATCTCTGCTTCTCCTCTCCTGCTTTCTCCAAATTTTTTTTTTTTTTTTTTTTTTTTTGGGTTATTAGAGCCTACAAGAAGGGCAAATGCAAAATAAAAAGAATAAAGAAAAGATTGGATAAGAAAAATATTGGGTGGGAAAAAGGCGCGTAGTGGCAGTTGCAGACACATTATGCAAACCCCTGCAATGCCCCACTTCCTCCGTCAACACAGCCCGCTTCTCATCTCTGCTTCTCCTCTCTGCTTCTCCAAACCCAAATACAAACCCATAACGAACCATTTCTCCTTCTCTACCTCTTCTTCTTCTTATTCTTCTTCTTCTTCTTCTTCTTCTTCTTCTTGTTTCAATTACAAACTTATTAGCAATGCCCTTCCTCAAAGACAAGAATCCTTCGCAAATAAAGAGGAAGACGAAAACGAAGAAGAAGAGCAGCTAAGTAGCAGAAGAACTGGAGATTCAGGAACAATAATATCGTCTTGCGTGGTGGGCGTCCTTACAGGACTCTCCATTGTCCTCTTCAATAATAGTATCCATGAACTTCGTGATTTTTTTTGGGATGGTATTCCTTATAGAGGTGCCTCCTGGTTGAGAGAAGAGCCTCTCTCTTCTATCTGGATTCGTGTCATCTTCGTTCCCGCTTCCGGTGGTTTAATTGTCGCCATTTTAAACGCAATTCGATCTTTTCTAGATGATTCTAATGATAAGAACCCCAAGTTGGGGGCTGCTTTCAGTCCTTTCCTTAAGGCAGTGGCTGCCTGTTTTACCCTAGGAACTGGCAATTCCCTTGGCCCTGAAGGCCCTAGTGTTGAAATTGGCTCTTCTATTGCTAAAGGAATTGGTTCTCTTACTCTCTCTAATAAAGATTCCCAAACAAAGCTCTCTCTTTTGGCTGCCGGCTCTGCTGCTGGAATCGCTTCCGGTTTGTATTTCTGTTCTTTGCCTCTCTGTTTGGAAATGAGAAAATCCATGCTCAAGTATTAGAAATCCAATTTAATTAGACTTGGTTTATACTTAAGCAAATAGAAGATGAATTTTCAATGAAATTTCTCTTTTGCAGGGTTCAATGCTGCTGTTGCGGGGTGTTTTTTCGCAGTGGAGTCAGTGTTGTGGCCGTCGTCTTCATATGCATCTCCATCTCTCACAAACACCACGTCCATGGTTATTCTTAGTGCTGTAATCGCTTCTGTTGTGTCAGAAGTTGGTCTTGGTTCTGAACCTGCCTTTAAAGTACCTGAGTATGACTTCCGCTCTGTTGGTGGTAAGTCGTTATCTCTTTATATAATTGTTGTTATCATTTCTAAAAACCTTTATACTTTGCTCTTTTTCAGAGCTTTCAAATGATTTCCATCATGTAGGTTGACACCACTACATTATTTAGGAGTTTCACTTGATTGATTGCTGATGCTACTTGTTTTTAATATCGCATTGTAACTGAATGCTTCATGATCAATTCTCTTATGTGAAACTTGATGATAAATTTAACTGCATAAGCTTTTCCCAAAGTGTTTATAAGAAAGATGGGGTACATTGCTGCTAAGTCTATTTATCTTATTTTTCAGAACTCCCATTGTATCTGTTGCTTGGTGTCCTTTGCGGCTTGGTTTCTTTGGCCCTATCCAGATGCACATCATTTCTGTTGTTAGCGGTCGACAATCTTCACAGGGATGTTGGAGTACCAAGACCTGTATTTCCCGTACTGGGTGGCTTAGTGGTTGGGACAATAGCCTTGGCTTATCCCGAAACCCTATACTGGGGATTTCAGAATGTTGACATTTTGCTGGAATCTAGACCATTCGTGAAAGGCCTCTCTGCTGATCTACTGCTTCAACTTGTAGGAGTCAAGATAGTTGCAACCTCTTTGTGCCGGGCATCTGGACTAGTAGGAGGCTATTATGCTCCATCCCTCTTTATTGGTGCTGCTACAGGAATGGCATATGGGAAACTCATTGGTTTGGCAGTTGCTCATTCTAGTCCGGTCCTTCAACTTTCCATATTGGAAGTTGCATCACCACAAGCATATGGCCTGGTACCATTCTTTGACACTGTTCCATCAGCTAGATAAACTTTCACTTTTAGATTTTAATATGTGGAAAACTTAAATTTTGAGGATACCTTTTATAATATGTTTTTAGATTGTCTTGCTAAATTTAGAGAAGATTTAATAAAAAGCTTCTAGTAAACTTCAGACTTATAATATCGCGAACTTCAGGCTTCATTATAATCTCATTTGAAGATCAAAGAGAAACCAGATGGTGTTTAGATTTCGCTTAGTGTATAGCTGTCATCTATTTTATCCATAGCCTTCAACTGGAACAGTAAAACCTCCATGTCAGCAAGTTCAATTTGTCTGGATATCATTAAAAGAGCTTGGTATTAACTCACTTTGTGTGGTCAGGATTGCCACAGGATTTTGTCTTCGACTAGCCAAAGAGCCATTATCCAGTATATAGTTTAAGCAAGTACCTCTTGGGGGGAATTCTGCTTGTGCTCCATTTTTATTTGTAATCTTCTTTCAAAACTCACATCAGCACAGTTTCAGTCAGCGTGAGAAGTCTACCATCACACAGGTGGTTCCCCTACTTTATGACTGTCATTTGAGAACACTTTTTCCTTTTAACGTGGATGCTTAATATGCAATATTTATAATTGAATCTTGAAGATTGAAAAAAACACGTTTCAGGATGTTATGAATTTTATCTCCTTTTCAGAATCAGCTCTTGGTGAAGCAGCTATTATCTTTCTACCAATGTCGTTGCATAACTATACAAATGACTTGATAGATAATATATCGAATAAGCTTCATTGACAATTGCTACAATTCTAGTTGTCTGAAGGAGCAAATTGTAACAGACTGTGAATTGGTCTCAAAATAGTTAAAATGATCTTCACTTAGTAATTTTGAATTGTTCGTAGTTCTTTTTAAAAAATTTCGGAATGAATACCCTATAATTATACAAAGTATGTAATTTGGCTGGTCACTGGTAGTTATGATCACAGGTGGGAATGGCTGCAACACTTGCGGGAGTGTGTCAAGTGCCTCTTACTGCAGTTTTGCTGCTTTTTGAATTGACTCAAGACTACCGAATAGTGATCCCACTATTAGGCGCTGTAGGGTTATCTTCATGGATTACATCTGGGCAGACAAGAAGAAAAGAAATCAAAGAGATCAGAAAAGTCAGCAAGGGAAATGGTCTTCCAGCTCAACAAACTGAACCATCTTCTGATTATGTACTGGCTGAAACAGCTCCTTATGCAAGTAATCTTTGTGAAGTTGAAAGTTCTCTTTGTGTAGACGATCCTACTATTGAAAATGAACTGCTAAAGAAGAGAATTTTTGTATCAGAAGCCATGAGAACCCGATATGTTACTGTTTTCATGAGCACTTTAGTTACTGAAGCAGTGAGTCTCATGCTTGTGGAGAAGCAGTCTTGTGCTATGATTGTCAACGACAAAAATATTTTAATTGGACTCCTCACCCTTGGAGACATTGAGGGGTTTAGCAAAATTGCAAAATCAAAAGCTGAGAGAGCTAAGGTATAGAGTTTTTTCTTTCAACAGCCATTCAAGGTTAAAATAGCTTTTTGAACCTTTTTTCTGCTCTTTCAAGGTTATTGTACATAAATTTGAGAAAAGGCCCAAACAAACAAAAATCAGAGTTAAACTCTGGAACAAAATCAAGGAGAATAGATGACAACTTGGAATATTTTGTTATGTTCTTCTAGTAACTAGTAAATTCAGTTGGATGTTTATAGAAATTGACAATTTATCTATGCGCTAATAGTTCCAAGTGCTTGGGAAGCGCTTTCATTCTGGCTATGTACTTTGGTAACCAGATGGACTCAAGTTTGCGCTTTGATCTTGATTTTCGGAGTTTCTAAAGTTTTATCTGTAACTTGCCTTTCTTTCCATATATATCTATGACCGTTAATCTTGAATATCAACTCTTTCATTTCAGGAGCTTGTGGTATCTGATATCTGTTCATTGGATAGTGAAAATTGTCAAGTACCATGGACTGCTAAGCCTAGTATGGACCTTTTCTCTGCACAAATCAGCATGGATCAATACGGGCTGAGTCAGGTTCCAGTTATTTCTGAGAATGTTGAAGAACAAATAGGGAACCCAGTTGGCCTTTTAGACACAGAATGTATCAATGTAACTTGCAGGTTTCTTCACAAACTTTCTACTCTATCTAACTTGTGCTTCCTTTAGATAATTGTATCATATGTTTTTTGCATCCATAGTTAGCTGACTGTTTTTCTGGTTTCTCTTTGCTCTCATTTAAAGTTTTGAAACTTGTATATCCTTAATAGTGATTTGTAACACAATTCGTAGTGTGTGGGGGTGGTGTGTGTATATATATTTATATATAATACTTCAATACAGTATAAATATATATTTAGTACTAAATAAAACTATTGATTTATAATAAAACTTTACAAATACTATTTTCTAAATTTCATGCGTACTTAGTATGTCCTCTTTGTCAATAATTTTATATAATGATGTAAAATGATAAGGCAAACTCCATTTGAGAGCCAGTGATGGATTTTCTTCCAGAAGCATTTTTGTTCTCATACAAAATCTAGCAACATCCGTTCTTTTATATGTAGATTGATAAATATAACATTAGTTTCTGAAAGGCACAAGCCTGTCAACAGAGGAGGAGAAAAGAATGGATAAAATCTACTTTATGGATTTTGACTTTTGTTTTAAATCCCATGTCTTTTTATATTCATATCTGACGTGAGTTTTTGAATTGATTTGAATGCCAACAAGAAATGTCACTGCTGTTATATGGTATAGTATTCCACATTGAAATTCTCATGTCATTGCTGTTGCTGATTTATTTTGTCAATCTTTTCTTTGTTTTGTGGGATTGATGCAGAGCTCTTGCAACCAGAGAATCCCTCACATAATACTCCATGATGGAAAAGCAAAGCCAACTATATGGGGATGAATAGTTGGCCTCTGTGATATTTGCCATCATATATCAGAAGTTGGAAATTAATGCCTCTAGTTTTTAGTGAGAAGGTCACATTTCAAACTGCTGCTAAATCCATGGGCATGCATGCAAGAGAGTTCTTGCTTAAGTGGCGGCTATGTTGTGCTTTAAGCAGCAGCTGGACCAATAAACAGGTAAAGAAAAGGACTATTCTTTTGTCATAGGCTAATCTGGGTGGGGATCAATCGCCAGCTACTATGAAGAGATATGATGGGATGATAACTTGTGCAAGGATATTTTGGAAAGCATCGAAGTCGTTGAATTACATGCAACATAGGTACTTCCTCTTCATTGGTTTTTCTCGAATGTTGAAATTGGGAGATTCAAATTTGATAATACACAAGGTTTACTCATCTTGTATACTGTTCATGTATAATTTTTCAAACTGAGCCTGGGATTAGATTCTTCTATCACAGTGATAAGAAGCACATGCTGGCAATGACTGCTCAAGAACTGACCAACTAAAGCACTAAACTCTGGATCTCAGTCCCATGAAAATGTCTTGTGCAACAGCTGTTTATTCTTTTGTTCAGGAATCTTTTTCTGTTGCTTGTACAATGGATGTTAGGTTCAACAAATAATCATAACTGGTTCTGTTAAAATTGTTAACAAGGACAAGGTTAATACCAGTTTACTGAAACTATTACAATGTGAAGTTATGTTTAAGACATTCAATACAAGTTTGCACGTTTAAACCACTCTGTTGTATAAGTAAACCCGCATTTCCAAGTTCATAAAATGCCCATACAACTTGTTTTTCTTTAAAGTTCAAATTATCCATATTGAGAAACTAAATCATTTTAGGACTTGTAAAATTTTAAGACTTTAATTGTTTGGCAAAACAACTTACATACAGAAATTTAGCTGATTTCAACACAGTATTGATCTTCCATTCACGGCTTGGAGAAGACTTGATCGGAGGTCTTGTTCATGTTTTCTTGTTCAATTTTCACACTTGATTCATCAATTTGCATTGGACCAATATCCGAAGCCTGCAAGCAAGCAACAATATCAAATCAGTTAAATAATCTTTCCACGGTTATGGACTCTCACGAATGCAGTTTCTCTGAGTGTGTTGAACTTTTACCTTTGCACTTGCGGACTCATCTACTGTTGTCTCGAAGCCTCTGGGATGCTCAGCAATCATTTTCTGACTCTCCTGAAGTAAATAGAACCAAAAACTATTACAAGAAAGAACTACTAATTGGAACAAAGCAGAACCCAGGATCTAAGTATACCAAAAATAAATGCCAAAGTTTCTTAGAAGGGGAGATTATTTTTTACTAGAGTGAGCTCCTCCCCTATCCAGTTGTTCGGGTGCTTTCCTAACTCGATCAGATTATTATTATTGTTTGACGAAAGGTTCCAATGTTCACAAATCACAAGAACATGGTAAAGACATGGAGGTTAAGGACAGAACTTCCTGAGGGGGAAAAAAGAAAAAGAAAGGAAAAAGAAGATGATGATTCCCTAAAGAAGGTTTTTGTGCTTTATTGTGTTACAATACTCAACTGATTGAGTTAAGATGCACTAGATTGATTCCAGTGAATCTGCAAGCATCTGGTATTCACAATTTTTCGGAAAAAAAATAATAATAATAAAAAAAAATCCTATTCTTCCCAGGAGAAGTATGATATTTCAAGTCATATTTACACAAAAGTGGCTGGCTTGAATAGTTGGCATGCCAAAGTATCATCAAAATGCCTATATTCTAAAAAAAATTTAGAATGATAAAAAAGAGATGAGCTGAGGTTTCTATAGAAAAGGCAAAGCAGGACATACTGGATCTTTTGTCTCAGTCTCAACTATTTCTCTCTTCACTCTGCTTGGTAAGGGCTTGCTGCATGAGGTGAGTCAGAAATCAGCAGACAGGAATATGTGGGAAATTTAATTTCTACTTTTTATAAGAGAGTGGAGAAGAGGGTGCAAAACAAAATACCGGTCATCATCAACATCCATGTCAGAATCCGGATCCCATCTCTCATCTGCATCATCCTGATCTTCATCTGCCTGTACTTGAAATAAAATTCAATATCAATAAGCAAACAGTACGGAACAAGTTAGACATAGTTGTCAAATCGAGAAATAAGATTCCGCATAACTTTTTAACATTAATTAAAAATAAATGCATATATATTTATGGATATATTTCAATTAATTACTAAAAAATGTAGTTGCAAATAATGTATTTATATACATTTCAATTCTAAATTATTTGCTAAACACAAAAGGAAAGAGACCTAATTACTTGTGTAGTTGTCGAGTTCAAAATATCAAACTACAAAGCTAAATTAATAAAAACAAAGTGAAACTATCAAGCCACAAGAATTTCCTACCCAAATCCATATTTATTCATTACCGTTTCCAAATTCAAGCCCTTCATAATGTATTTATATACATTTCAATTCTAAATTATTTGCTAAACACAAAAGGAAAGAGACCTAATTACTTGTGTAGTTGTCGAGTTCAAAATATCAAACTACAAAGTTAAATTTTAAAATAAAAACAAAGTGAAACTATCAAGCCACTAGAATTTCCTACCCAAATCCATATTTATTCATTACCGTTTCCAAATTCAAGCCTTTCCTACCCAAATCCATATTTATTCATTACCGTTTCCAAATTCAAGCCCTTCATTTATCTTCATTTTCTAATATAACTTTATGTCCATATTTATATAGCTCTCCTTTCTCTATATTGAATTTTTCCACTTGTTTTGTTGGGTAAGAGGATCGTTTCACATGAGAATTGACTCAAATGGTAAGATTCAAATTGCATGAATCGTAAGATTTACAATCAATTCCGAGTCACCCATGAGATTCAAATCATTTAGCATAAAAATTGAATCGAATCGTAAAATTCGAATCGTGAATCGTAATATTCTGGTAACACCAAATAAAACACAAGTAATATGGGAATACAAGCTAAAACATGTCCATGTTTCGCAAACTGTCATATGGAACAATTTTCATGTTCGTCATTCTACCGCATTTTAATTCCATTATAGGCTCTATGAGAACCTAAATTGTTGTAGAGAGAATGAATACTGGCAGTGCTATATACTTCTACGTTCATGGATTAGCTTATAGCATAATGGCCCATTTTTATTCCCAAAAAACATACAAGCACTAAGCACACAAAAATTTTAAAAAATAAATAAATGAAAGGAGAGGGAAAAATGAAATCTTACAATAGCCAAACCTAAAGTGCCTCTAATTTAGATTTGACAACTAAAGGGGAAAAAAATCAAACTCTTGCAGTAAAAATATATGTTATCACAGCTTAATTAACCATTACATAACAAATTTTATATTAGAGAAGCATCATGCTCCATAAGTCAAGATGGTATCATATTATTCAAAGTCAGTTGTCACAAAATAGAATATCAGATCATCCAATATGATAACATTTTGCTTGTCCAAATGTGTTTAGTGAATAACTAAGATCTCAAGAATGGAACAGCTAATAGCTAGAAAGTTGAAGAACCAAATTTTGTATGCCTTACGTACCTCTGGAAGCTCAGTATTGGGTGGTCTTTCTTGGAATTGGACACTGGGAGCATGCTGAAGCTTGGAGAGATTATCAAGAAGTTTAGAACGTATTTCCTCGAGTATCTGATGCGAATTCTTATTTTCCATGTTACTAGGAGCAACGTGGAGGGTATAGTCTGGACCAAAGTACTCGTAATACTCATGCTGCGGCATCTTGTCATCAACTTCCATTCCAAGTGCAACACCTGTCTGCTTTGCATAACACATATTTACAAAAAGGTTGTCAGTTTATAAAACATTAAAAACAATTATTTCAGTTACCACTAAGATATTCAAGAAAGTTCTCTTCCATATTCAACATGTTAATTTTGAAACTATTACTGAAAAAGAAAAACATACCTCATAGCACCAGCAGCGAGCAACATTCCGAATTGTGTAACCACCACCACCCAGTAGTAATAATGGCACATTGAAAGATCTCATAAATTTAACACACTCAGCATGGCCCTTGATCGAAAGATTAAAGCATCCTAATCTATCCCCGGATAATGAGTCAGCGCCACATTGAAGAACCACAGCACCAGGTTTGAAAACTTCCATTACTTTTCCTATTATTGGCTTAAACAAGTAATGATAGCTCTCGTCATCAATTCCATCATCCAGTGGAACATTAAGAGAGTAGTATTTCCCTTTTGAATATCCAATATCACGTACATCCCCTGTACCAGGAAAATAATCTCCAAATTTATGAAATGAAACAGTCATGACTCTGTCAGTGGTGTAAAATGCCTCCTCCACACCGTCACCATGGTGAATGTCTATATCGACATAGAGAACACGCTGCAAGACAGATAAAGGAAACATTAAAGAGTAGAATTCATATTAGTTAATCTGATTATAAGACTGGATCTAATACTCAAAAACACAGTTGTCAGAGTTTCATGATTCTCAACTTTTCAATAATATGATGTGGCATACAAGTTAACAATTAACAAGAATCATAGACAACTCTACAATTTGCAGTTCAAAAATAATGGCATTGTTCTTGAATCCCCACCATGCTACAAAGTGGCATGCAAGTCAAAAACTGACAGAAGTCATTTACAAATTTACGATTTCCAATTCACATGGTTTCTACTTAATGCTATTTTGCGGTTCTCACAATTCAGAAACTAAACTATGGGAGAGTTTCCTCTTTTTTCCTAACTATTTTGACTATGTTCTTTAATCTCCTTCGTCTCTTCTGCCTTATTATCTAATCAAAGATGGGGCTCATGAACATCAATTTCTAAGATAAAGAATACAGACGTTTATAATGTATTAATGGAATCAGATATGCTTGACAATACTATTAGGACTTGTAATTGCTTAGGAAAAGAGAGAGATATACACGAGATAGAATATTAGACAAACCTCATGCGTCTTAAGAAGCTCCAAGATTGCGAGAACAATGTCATTGACATAGCAAAAGCCAGAAGCTTCGCACTTCTTAGCATGATGAAGGCCACCAGCCCAATTGATAGCAATGTCACAAAGACCATGATTTAATTTAACAGCACCACCAACAGAGCCGCCAGCATAAGTTTGGCAGAAAGAGTAAAGGCCATCAAATACGGGACAATCTTCGCCAACATTAAAGCGTTTGAGTTGTCTAAGCTGGTCCTGCTGGGTTTCAGGGGTAATGCTGCGGAGAAAAGCCACGTAATCATCAGCATGGAAGCGGCAAAGATCCCTGTCTCGAGCAGGAAATGGCTTAAGCACTTGCATGTGCTGAAGCAAACCATAGTGGGCAAGAAGAGCATGTGTCATTCTAATGCGGTGGGGCTTCATGGGGTGACCCTGACCATAATAGTAATTGCCCACCTCTGGATCATAAAAATAGCAAACCTTTCTCTTCACCCCATCAGCACCTGAAGGTAGAGAATTCCCCCCAGTCTCCATTTTTTCTTTTAAATTCTATTATCAGTATTTTCTAAGCAATTACCAATTCTGTACAGCAACATTTTGGACAAAATAAACAACCCTAGTTAGTGAAATTTCCACGCTTTGATATTATGTAAAGAACAAGATATACACAGAACTTAGAAGTCAGCCTAAAACAAGACAAACCCAGAAAGGAATTAAGATACAACTTGGTTTCAAATGCAGTATACGGCAAGAAAACCTATACAAACGAAGAAACCTTTTAGTGCTTTAATTTCATTCTTATTCTTATATAAAGAAAAGAACAAAAAATTGTTAAAAGTAATTAAAACCCATATCAGGCATTACGAAGTTAGAGAAGAATGATGCTCTCCATACAAAAAAGAAAAATAAATGAAACGCTTAAAACTTGGGGAAATGAAGGAAGAATTAGTTACAAGAACCAAAACCCATATCCAAGAGTACAAACTTATTTCAAAATAAAAGGCAGCGACAGAAAAAAAAGAGAGATTTATCAGACTACACTATACCTCTATCGATATAACAAAGGTTTCTAGATAGATAACCTTTCTTCTTCTTCCTTGCTCGCGTAATTTGTAGAAAGAACTATGGAAAGTAAAACAAAATGTTCTTTCTTGTGCTGCAACGTTTTATATATATGAACCGGCTTTGGATCTCCCAACTCAACTCAAATTATATAGTTCGAGAAGGAAAACATAATTTGCATTACTTACTATCAAGCCCAAAGCAGCATTGGCCCATTCGATGGTTTTTATTATTATATTTACTTATTTATGCCAGTCCTTCCGTGACGCATCGCACGTTTATACTCGTTATATAAGCTTTTTTTTTACTTGTTTAATTTTTTTATTCATATAATATTAAAACTATTTATTTATTGCAAATGAGATATCTAGTTCTAATTAACTTTTTCAAATGGTTTCTTTAAAAAAAATTTTCTAAAATAGTTCATTATTTGCATTACATATATAACCATGCATCCAGTCTAAATTAAGTAATAAAGGAAGAAATTTTAAGCCTTCCTAAAAATCGGCGACAAACTCATAATAAGAATTTATATGTGCAATTCTTTTGTTTATAGTATATAATAATCTAACCGGTTTTATAAGATTGTATGTTGATCTAATGAAATATGGTTAGGTAACAACTAATATATATTGAAAAAAAAAAAAGTGTTGTATTTATAAATAAAAAAAATTGAAGAAACATAAATATAAATAATATATAATTGAAAAAAAAAAAAGTGTTGTATTATAAATAAAAAAAATTGAAAGAAACATAAAATATATATATTATATATATATATATATAATATATATACTATATACTTATATAATATATATACTATAATTATGATAGAAATATATATATGATAGAAAAAAGAAAAATTCAAAAGTTTGAAAGTTAATTGACATGCGGAACAATGATTAGTAATTCTAATGAGTTTTAATGTGTGAAAGAATATGTTATATAAATGTTTTTGTATATTTTAATGTATTTTAAAATTTATTTCAAAATTAGGATAATAATTTTATTTTTTTTGAATCAATTAATATCCTAATTAAAAAAGATGAAACTTAAAATTTTAAAATGTTTAATTATTTATTTAAAAAATATTTTTTAATAGATTATATCCCATCAATTAATAAAAAATTATTTGATTTATTTTTTTAAATATAATTTTCTTTAATTTGTGTTATCTACTATATAATATTAAATTTACTTGGATGTTATACGCTTTATTTTTGTATAGTTATTTAAACACAAAAACGTCTTTTATAATTTACCAAAAATATATATATAAATATTTTAGTCTCTTAAATTAAATTTGAGAAATATATTCCCTATTCTAAATTTAATTTGGAAGAATATGTTTACTCCTCATTCTAAGATTAAATTTTATTAATTTATAATGTTCAAAAAAAATTTATTTTATCTAAGTACTGATCCGAGTCTATAGGCTCTTCAAATACACCTAAATCTAACTTGAACAACGTAAGTAAAAAAAACTGATAAAAAATATCAAAACCCACCAAAACTAAATACAACAGAACTCCAAAACTATTAACTACTGTCCCATAAAATTATAAAATCAAAACAGCAGATGCACTGATCTATAATTATACCAACCATTCAAAACCATTTCTTGAGACGAGAAATGAAGAAAGAGAGTTAGTAAGCCAAGATTGTAACATCCCTTCCCGGTCCACCCGTAAACCCGAATAAACCGAGTCGAGATGCTACAAACTGGATGACTTAAATCCTGACATGCTGACATCACTGACATGCCTGAACATCATCAGTATGTATATTAATAATTTATCAAGACATGATACTGTTAGCAAAATGGAATTGGCCAACTGGTGTGCCCTGTACCATGCCAATAAAAAAGTGATAACAATGAGTATCTACCTCTGAAGACCGAGTCTTCTACAGATAACGGCAGCAGTTTGTAAACGGATAAACGGACCCTCTATGGACTAGTCTCAAAACCTGCGAGTTAAACAGGTAACTCGCTGAGCAAATAAAGCTCAGTGGATATCTCAACATGGAAAGAAACAATAAAGCACATACTTGTATATAAAGAATCATGTAGGCACACAAGGCACAGCACACATATCATGATATCTTTCATTTATCTGTATGATTTATGCAATGTTATGTCCAGATATCTGTATGGCTCCATAAGGTTATAGCGAAATCGAGGTGATAAGAAAACTGTATAAACTGGATGAATACTGTATACTTGGCTGCTATGGCCCATATAATCATATCCACTCAACGGCCTGTAGCCGGAGTAACTCAACGGCCTATAGCCGGAGTAACAAACTGTATGAGGGCCAGATTGCCTATCCTATGTCGACAGAATGGCCTTATCGACATAGGTTTCTATCCTAACCTCAATGGAGCATAATGTTGGATTATGTCAAATTGTATAACAATAACATACATAGTAATAGTGTCATCACTTCATAAATTATAAACAACATCATAGTAATAGTTCATCGCTTTATAAATCATAATGTTCATATGATTTCACATCATTTGCATGCTTGGATGTTGTTTTGATACATGTTCTAATGTTGTCTTTTTATTTTAGAATGATTGGATGCATACAAGTTGAGCAAAGTAATCCAATTGCATAGAAAAGAAAGCCAAAAGTGCAGGAAAAGACAGGTCGCGGGCGCGCCTGTGGAAGTCGCGAGCGCGAGATGCAGAAAATAAGAGACAGTGTGTTATCGGGCACAAGTCACGATCGCGTACTTGAATGTCGCGAGCACGTAGTGTGCCAAATGAGAGACAGTAAGTTTCAGGTGAAAGTCGCGAGCGCGCACATGCGTACTTGAGAGTCGCGAGCGCGTAGTGTGCCAAATGAGAGACAGTGAGTTTTCATGCCAACTACGCGAGCGCGCAACTCAAGTCGCGAGCGCTTCCAGGCCAAGGGCCAACTTCGCGAGCGCGTCTTGCAAGGTCGCGAGCGCGAGAAGAACAAAATGAGAGTCAGTGAGTTTGAAGTGAAAGTAGCGCGCGCACAGTGCAAAGTCGCGAGCGCGCAACGTGCTTCCAGCCTACGCAGTACCAGGTCGCGACGCGTTTCCAGCCTGCGCAGTCTGGACTCTTTTGATCATATCTCTCAATATACAAATCCAATTTGGGTGATTCAAAAACCCATGCAAAGCTAACACATAGAGGAACAAATAACTCTTCTATGAGAGGAACAAAATAACTCTTTATATGGACACTTTCCTAATTCCATTCATTAACTGGCGCGTCAAAATCAAGTGAAGTCCTCCCATGATCTTATCAACATAAAAATCAATACTCCCCTTTTTTCTCACCACTACCAGTCTCCAACATTGAAGCAATATAGTGTACTCACATAGCAAACACTACCTCACACAATTCTCATGCAAAGAAAATAGATAAAAATAGAAAGATATCAAACCCTTTACTCCACACAAAACCGCCGTGAGCTCTGTTCTAGCTTTCTTTTCTCTACACTCCTTTGAAACTCCCTTCTTCAGCTTAACACATCCAAAACTCTGTTAACTTTACTTCTACAATTACTCAAATAAGAGACTGTAATAACATTAAAGGCTGCAAGTAATCGTTCTAGTTACTTGGAGAAAATTGACGGTTGCCTAACGCATGGATGCGAAGAACATATGACAGAAGAGAAATATGAAGAAGATAAAGATAAAGATGAACAATGGGAAAGTGAATGGGATGATTACGGGTAAGTCATCACAAAATCAAGATAAATGATGGAAACGTACTACATGGTACCTCAATTGGGTAAAAGCTACAACTTAATACCCAAACTTGTTCTTCTAATGCAAGTAACTCCAAATCTTTATACTTTGCTCTTTTTCTCTCAATCAAGTAAGTCCACTAATAAACTCATTCTACCCCAATCGGGTTTGGTTCAACTCGACTCTATGCAAAGACTCGACTATGCAAAGACTCGACTCGGTAGGATGTCACAGTTCTCCCCTCGGGTAAGGCTTTACCCTTTCGTCCCAAACTTAGGATCTTTTTCCATGATGAAACTTTCAGAAAATACTTTCATCTTCACCCGAGCCGATATACTCACTATCCTTTCTTCTTTAAATCAGCGATAAGACTTTGTCGATCACTTGCTTCTTTTTTTTCAGCCGTTTTCTGATGATTTCCACTTTCTCTTCCGTTTCTCTAACCAAATCTGGACCCAAAATCTTCTTCTCACTAAGTTCTGTCCAATACACAGGTGTTCTACATTGTCTACCATACAATGCTTCATATGGTGCCATTTTAATGCTTGATTGATAGCTGTTGTTGTAGGCAAATTCCATGAGAGGTACATATCTGTCCCAACTGCCTTCAACTTCTATAACACATGATCTCATCATGTCTTCCAGGATCTGAATGACTCTTTCTGATTGGCCATCTGTCTGAGGATGAAATGCAGTGCTGAAATACAATTTCGTCCCTAATGCTTCCTGCAGTTTACCCCAAAACTTCGGAAAATGACGAAAATCTTCTAGTCCTAATGCTTCCTGCAGTTATCCCAAAAACTTTCGCATGTAAAACATTGGATCACGCGTCAGATATAATGGATGGATGCGAAAACTTCCATGTGTCGAAAATATCTCTCTAACATAAATTCTCTGGCTAAAACTTGTTAATGCTAACTTGTCTAGAGAATAGTCCATCTTAACTGGTAGAAAGTGTGCGGACTTAGTTAATCTGTCCACAATCACCCATACTGCATCATGCTTCCGCTGCGTCTGTGGTAAGCCAGTAACAACATCCATCGTGATCTGATCCCATTTCCATGTTGGCACTGTTATTGGATGAAGTAACCCGGATGGCAGTTGATGTTCTGCTTTTACCTGTTGACATGTTAAACATCTTGTTACAACATGTACAATATCGTTCTTCATGCCCGGCCACCAATAGCCTTTTTTCAAATCTTGATACATCTTGGTGCTACCTGGATGCATTGTATATGGACTGTTCGAGTACATCCTTGGTACTTACCGCTGGATTGCATTAGTATATGGACTTTATGAGCTTCCATGCAAAATCTTTTGTCTAAGCTCTCTTGTTTTGCGCATTACAACAACTCTGTCCTTCAATAGAATGGTAAGACTCCACATGTTACTCTCAATCTATGAATTTCCCACATAACATATACACATAAAAATTGACTAATAGTATTAGAACACAAATAAGTAGACTA